TCAATGAGCAAAAGGGCAACACAAGTCTCGCTGAGTTGAGCAACCGCTCTTAGCCCTGAACCCTGCGCATAGGAAAAGCTTGGCCTGGCTTTTCCAGAGGCCAGAGTGTGTCGTCGCTCTCAGCTCACTCATCGATATTTCACCCAATGCAGCTGACCCGCCTGTGCTTGGAGAGTGGAGACTTTTCCCGTTCTCCACCTCATGCGCATGCGTCCTGGTCCTGCAGGAATTTGATTGTTTTTATTACCACCGTCGTCATCCACCCACCACCCACTAAGTGGGCCGGAAATTATCCGGACTTTTTGGGTGCGGTGCGGCGTGAGTGCAAGCAGCGAGCTGCAGATGCTGTTGCTATCACACCAACAACAACCCCTTCAGGCCCCGCCCTTGCGTGCAGCGTGAAAATTAGATAGGAAATCAATCAACTGACACTCGAGACGCATTTCCCATTTCCCCGGTGGCGGCAGCGACGGCGGGCTGGCTTAAATACCTATAGTTTATGTATGTAGTATGCTTTTGGCCAGTGACCAAGTTATGGTAACAATTCCAATTCCTGACGCATTCCATATGCCTTGCCAAATTGTCAAAGTTCTCTTAGCACAGTTTTTTCTTGCCAGATGAAATCGATATTAAGTAGAAGAAGGAGGAAAACTCGTTTTTCCGGTAGCAAATTGTATGAAAGACTGTCACAGATATTTGTTATATAGTGACCTACATTTATTAAGAATTGGGGTTTTATGTTTAACGAAATAAAATAAAAAATGGGTTAACTTGAAAATTATTTTAGATTTTTCTTTTGGCAAATCAAACTTGACCTAGATATGTGGTAAAATAGGTAGTGTAACTACCATATTATAATAGATAATTTTATGGAAACATATAAAGAAAGTTAATACAAATTAACAAGGGGTATTTTCTATTTAAACTGAGAGTTCATTAGCTTTTAAAACCATTACAAAAGCTAGAATACCTTATAAGAACTGAAGCTAAATGATTGTAAATGTAAATAATTAACAAATTAATTTCTCTTAAATAAAGCTGATTTAAGATAGAACTCTTAAGACCCCTGAGAGTCCAATGACAAGAGCAAATATCGATTAAACCAATTAATCCAATTCTTCTTCGATTTTTTAAGGTTATCCCCAGCCCACGCACAAAAACAATAACTTTCTTAATATAGAAGTCGCACTCGTTTTGCTTTTTCCACTTAATGCCATGTGTTCATTTCTCAGTTCTCTTTTTTTCACAAAAAAAAACACAAAGCTATTGCCCTCCATTAAATCGATCTCTCCGAGCTGCGTGGGAGATGCAATTAACCAAAAATAATACTAAACAAAATCGACCCAATGGAGGAACTTTTTTGTTTACCCAACACGACACAAGAAATTAAAATAAATATTATTACTTCGCTGAGCAGAGGGAATTATTAAAGCTTAAATAAAACTGTGCACTGATATCGGGAGCAGTGAGTGAACTATTGGAGCCGGCGATAATGCGTTGAGGAGATAAGGCGCCCGCCCGATGAAGCCGTGGATGCTAAGCTCTCGCTCCAAATTAACCAAAGCAAAATCAAGTGCAAATTGAAAGACAAAAGAAGAACAAAAGAACAAGAGGCAAATGAATATATGTGCACAGCTGGTAATAAGTAATAAAAATAGCCGCATAATCGCGAACAAAAGGGATGTGCTTGGTGCACCCAGACTGCAGGCTGCCAGCCGGAGGCGTCGATGGAAATCACTAATTGGAAAATGCTTTTCCGCAGAGACGGCGAGTGTATGAGAGCGGGCACCCCGAGAGAGATGATGGGGGATTGGATTATCCAATGGCTTAAATTAGCTTAGGGTAGTAGCTTTCAAAATAGTAATAGCAGAATTTACTACGCAACAATAAATTACCGTTGCTGCTATTGCGAGTCCCGTAAATTGCCTTAATGGACACATCACAACGTAATACACGAAACGAAACGTAAAGCACAGCAACAAGAATCATCGCAATGAAATAAGTGAAATATGAACGGGTAACATACGTCAATGAACGCCGGCCAGTTGAGTAAAAATATATAAACTAAATATATATAAAAGGTGTGGGGTGCCAGGGGAGAGGTTATCCAGCGAGCCACACAGCTGATTCATGCCGGTAAAGTATCTCGGTTATGGTGAAACTAGGCACGATGAGAATGCTGGCCAGGCCAGCTTTTCAACGTGATGATGATGACTTGTCGCCTCTCCCTCTGTGCTCTGTCTGGTTTGGGATTAGTTATGCAATTAACTTTATTTTTCTTTCTTACTTTGTGTTCTTATTTTCAGTCTTAAATTGTTCATTTATTTGCCTTTTGCTTTGTAAGTAATAGCGCTGTTTTATATACATTTTATTTTCTGTTTTATTAGGTACTCTTCTTGTTAACAGTACGAATAAACAATAAATTAGGTTGAAGTCTTAAATGAACCAGATTAAGGGATTACATAGGTTAAGAAGGATATTTTGCCTTTTTTTTAAAGAGTTTTTCTTTTTCTTGACACAGATTTTACATTATTTTAAAATGTGTCTAAAAGTATGAAATGCAATTTAAAAAATCAAACCTTGTAGGTAACCTTTAGAAGTTTGTATTCAAACAGAGAAGGATCCTTTTAAAAAAGTATTAAACTCCCCTTTAAACCTTCGTAAACTAATAAAAGTTTTAAAACTCTCAATAAATAATGGACAAAGTTAAAAACATATACAAAATCCCTCTCGAAAGCTGTGTTTTATAATCTTAAATAGAAAAACCTTCTTTAAATAATCTCCTTAATTTAATCTTCCTCTAGTATCTCCTTTAGCCAACGAGTACTGTACTTACATACAACCACAATGTCTGTTCACTTGCTTTTGGCGCATTCAAATTAGCATGAATCACGCGCCAGTCCAAAGCGGTGACGACCGATTCGTTAAAACTATGAGAAAATGCCGGCAAAAAATATGAGATAGCAGCAGAAATCTAGGATGCCGGAATGATTAATAATCCGGCGGAGAAAGAGAACTATTGTGGGTTCAGGGAAAGCCACAGAGACGGAGTGAGAGAGGCGTTAAGAATCTTTTAAAGCTATCAAATTTCTCCGCATTGCGATATGAAATACATTTAATAAGAGAACCGAGACCTCCGTGATGACATCATGGGAGCAGAGTTGAGGAAAAAAACCAAACGCAAAAAAAGAGAGCGGCGAATGACTAACGCAGAAACGAGGGCTCCAAGGAGGAGCCAGGGCCAGGTGGGATGCAAGGTGCGGTCGCAAGGACAACACTAACTAAAACAAATAGCAAATAATACTCTAATTACGACAGGCACAACGTAATTAATTAGAATAACGAACGGAAGGCAATGATAACGACCAGAGAGTGCACTTGGAGTGTCAAATTTACTCACCCAATCCGTATTTGTAGAAGATCTCCTCCACGGACACAATCTTGGGCTGTGGCTGCGACGATACTGGTGTGACCTTTGGCTTGGGCGGCTCCTCCTTGGGCTTGGTCGGCTCCGGTTTTGGCTCGGCCTTGGGCGCCACCTGGACGCTGCTGGGCTTGAAGTCCTCATCGTCGTCAAGGTCGGTTACCAAAGCGGTTGTAACGGGAACAACCTTTGGAACCGGCGACGGGGACGATGGCTTTACAACTGGCACTGGCACGGGCGCCGCTGCAGGGGCGGCGGGTGCCGGAGCAGAAATGGGAGCTGGCGGTGTGGCTGTGCGCTCCTCCTTGAAGTCACTGAGCAGATCCTCCGACGAAATGAACTTCTCGTTATCCTGCTCCTTTAGCTCATCCACAATATGCTTTTTGGCCGGCGACGGTGTGTACGAGACGGAAGGTGATTCTGTATCTGAATCCTTGTTGTTGGCACTCACTGGTGCCGCTGCGAGCGGCTTGCCCAGGAAATCATCGTCGTCGTCATCGTAGAAATTGACGCTGGACGGGGCCGTGGCCTGGAAGGATTGCAGTGGAGCCTGTGGCTTATCGCCGCCAAAGCTGCCCAAGAGATCGTCCTCCTGAACGGCAGCAACAGCAGCTGGAGCTGCAACAGGAGCAGCGGCGGGAGCTGGAGCTGAAGCAGGAACAGGAGCAGGAGCCACTGGGGCTGGGGCGTCTGAGAAGGCTGCCAAAGGAGCGGAGAAGCCACGCTCGGCGTTCATGAAATCAGTGGTCAAGCCGCTGATGCCCTGCTTCACCTCCTTGCCGACATCCCGTAGAAAGTCCCCGAAATCGTCCGCCTTCTGGGCAAACTTGGCATCCAGCTCCACCTGCGCCTCCTTGGCGCCGGCAGACAGTCGCTGCACGAATTCCTGCGGATCTTCAAAGTCCAGGTTCTTCTTCTCGTTGGCAAAGTAGTGCTCCGTGTGGGCATTGTCGTCCTGGGCCCCGCTGCTTACATTGGGCGAAGCTGCCAGCTCCTCGTAGGCCTTCTGCGCCTGTTGGAAGATGTCCTCATTGGTGGCGGCAGCCTCCTTCTTCAAATCGGCAAAGTTAATATCCATTTTTCGGGGAGAAAATCGGTGAATTTAATGCTTTTCACAGATGCTATTGATATATCCTGGCTCTCTGATTGGACTCGCGCTCTCGCACATACACACACACGGCGCTCTTGTACACAGGCACGCAACCGCTACCTTGCTACAGCTGATTTCGCCGGCTGACAATGCTCGAATTCGAAAGCTATCACGCACACGCGGGGTTTATTTTTGCCTAGGAGAATTGTGCTCCAAGACGTAAACTTAAAAATTTTTATTTGGACTGTTTGCTCCAGACGCCGAAGCTATTCGTTTGAAATTCTGATTAGACCTGCGCGAGGTTTGAGACCAGTGTTGCCAAAAGCAAATTTGGCTTTCCGCTAAAAAATCTCAAAGACCCAGAAAATTTCCGCTTTCGCGGCTTTTGGGCACACTAAAACGCTAAAACCCTTCGTCGCTGAAAAATAGCTAGACCGATAGACTTTTGGCCAGATCTGGCAACTCCATCACACGAAAAGCCTCGAATTAATTCTAGATTTGATTTATTGTTTATGTTTAAACTACAACCATTTCAGGCGGTCCACTTGAGGCAGCGCGTGTCCTGGTGCGTCTTGAGGCAGCGCACCCGGCAGTAGCGCGTCCCGCAGGCGGTGCAGGAATACAGAGAGAAATTACCGCAGACGGCGCAAAAGTGGCGCAGCGGCTTCTGGGGCGGCGGAGCCGAGGCGCTTTCGTAGTTGGGACGCTGCTTGTCCTCCTCGAGCAGCTGCTGGAAGTTCTTGCGATACTTGGCCCGGAAGTATTCGGCGCCTTTGCGCTTGGTCTTCTTCTCCTTGCCATTTGGGCCGTCCTGGAACTTGGGCAGCTTTTTGGACATGACCAGGTCGGCATGGGGGTCGTCGTGGAAGTTATCCTGCTCCAAGGCCTCCAGAGCCTTGCGGGCGCGTCGCTGCCGGGCGGCCACATCCAGAACGCGCTTCTTTTCTGCATCCTTGATGCGATTGGACTCCCGGCCTGTCATGTTGGTGTTTCGTTGTTTTTGTGAAGTTTCTGGAAGTTTCTAAGCGTCCTTGTCGTGCAGCGGGAAGCTTATGCGGTCCATCAAGTCGTCGACGCGGGCCTGCAGCACATCCACAATGTCCGTGGAGATGAATAGATGGTTCTCGTCCAGATCCTGGATGATGAATTTGCGACCCAGAGCCAGCTTCTCGTCCAAGTGCAGCAGGAATTGTTTCATAGCAGGATCACTGCAAGGGCAGACATCAATTGAACGCATTCACACTATTAATTGTAAGCTCTTACCACTCCACAAGCACTCCTTTCATAACATTTACCATGTTTTTTTGTTAAACTTTCTTTGCGGAGCAAATCCGCCGTAGAAGTGGACCAAACGCACGGCGTTCCGTGGATTATGCCATGGAGTCCCGAAAACTCGGTATTTCCAAAATGTCACCAGCTGGTCACACTTCACCCGCCGGCGGAAAGGTGTCTTCGATGTTTTCGTACGTTTTCTGACCCTTTTTCGCCCTTCAAAATAAGCCCCTAGCTGCCGAACCTTCCAGGTCAGAACTTCTTATACAATTTCAGCGTAAATATCCAGAAAATCAACAATAAACACACTCAAACGAAAGACCGGATACGACAGTGCTGCCAGATCGTCAATGAGTTGACGCCATAGTAGGCGTATTTCCCAGGCACCGCCGCACGGTCTCACTGATTAGCAAAGTACAAAATAATACTACTCCGAGATTCAAGTGAAGAAAACCCACGAGAATCAGCGCAATGGAAGCCCTAAACGGAAGAAACATAGCACTGCTGGTACTGTGCCTGTGCGCCACCTACGCGCTGGTGGTCGCCGACGTCGAGAAGGAAATACCGGCCACGAAATTCGGCCAGAGCTCGGCGCCGACGATGACTTTTCTTTACTGGTGAGGATTACGCCGGGGCAATTAACATAATATATGTGTAGATATGTGGGTCTGACTGAACATACGTGGTTTTCATGTTTTTGCTGCACAGCTACTCCTGCGGCTATCGCAAGGCCTTCGAAGACTACGTGAACATTCTCGGTGAGAAGTACCCGCAGATCCAGGTGCACGGCGGCAACTATGACCCGCCGGGCCTCAACTACTATCTCTCCAAGATAATATTCGCGCTGAAAATTATCATTATTGTGTCGGTGGTGAGTGCGGTCAGCCCATTCAACTTCCTTGGCCTGAACACGCCCAGCTGGTGGGGACACCTGCAGGCGAATAAAATCTACGCCTGTATGATGATCTTTTTCCTCGGCAACATGCTCGAGGGCCAGCTCATCTCGTCGGGCGCCTTCGAGATAACCCTGAACGATGTGCCGGTGTGGTCAAAGCTGCAGACGGGTCGCTTTCCAGCGCCCGAGGTCCTGTTCCAAATCATCGACAACCATTTGCAGTTCAACGAGAAGGTGCAGGAGAATCCGGACTTTGTTAAATAATAGTGTGGACGGACAGGCAGGATGATGACGCGGAGGCGGGACAACACCAAATATCCCACTCTACCACACCTACACCCTACACTCTAAGCTCTTGTCCTGATCTTAACTTTACTTAGCCGTATCTCTCCGTTTCACCCTCCTAACTTTAGCGCCACCTCCTTATATTTGTATTTCCTTTAATTGCTTAGTGATCTATCTGTACGTATGTATGTTTTATGTGTAGCCACCTGTCGTATGTCGTACGATAAGATGCCCGTGAGAGAGATATACGGGTACACGGGGTACATCTCGCGAACAGCCTCTGCCTAAACACAGATGTACCTTGTCCAATAGCCTTTACGAAAGAATGTGTATCATTACTTGTTAGATTCGGGGGAGGGAGCAAGCAAACTGATTACACGCGTATATATGTAGACCTTTTTCAAATTGTAATAAAATTAAATATGCTGATGAGTTTCAAAGCCGAATGAATCATAATCATGTGTGTTTAACTGGATAAAAGGGAGTGTTTACAGCGGTTAATGTTTTTAAATATTTGTTTATATATATTCTTTTATTTACCTCGAGAGAAATCAAAGAGGCGAGAAAAGAAGTTAAATGAAAACTTCAGTTCAGTAAGATTTTCTGTTCCATTTATTATTAGGTTAATAAATCCTTTCAATCCTTTCAAGGGTATACAAATCTTTATAAGTTGTAAGAATGCCTAAAGAGTTGTGAACTTTTAGATTTTAATAAGGCCGAATTTATAAAATCATGGTGGTATACTGATTCTTTCATATGTTTTGTCGTGTTCCCCATGACAGCTGAGTGATATTTTCTATTAATTTTTCCAGATCTACTCAGAGTAGATTAGATGGTAAAAACCAGAAATTGGACATATCTAGATGGATTAGCTGTTGATGTATATTTTTTTAAGGGTCCAAAAGACTCTTCTCTTACTGTATAAAATTGATAATTATGGTAACACCTTCCTTTAATCGCATTCAAAGCCTTTTTCGTATGCATTGGTTTTATGTTGTGTAAATTTTATTTATCAAAAAACTGGGTTTGGTTTTTGGTTTTGTGTTACATTTACAATTTAATCCCAACAATAGGAGCTGAAGACTTGCTTTGTAGAGCAGGCAGTGTGGATACGTATACTCCATTCGCCCCCATTATTATTTGAATCCTTTTTTCGTTTGACACTTGGTTTGGGTGTGTTATTGGTGAGTGTGTGGTGCTTGGTGTCCACGTAATTAGATTACTTCTACACAGAAAATGGCACTGTTCAGTGTTTGGTTTTTGTTTTTGGATCGTTATCGTTATCGCGATAGGATAGCAATATACTTAAGACAAAGATTTAACTGCTACTTAGTGGGGAGTCTAGGGTGCGGTGGTGTCCTCGCGCGTGCGCCGACGGTATTGGCGCGGGTCGCGTGAGTACTCGCTGTAGCTCTGGGGCACGTTGCCCGGGCGGCGCTGTTGGTACCTTCCGTTCAAGTAGTTGGATGGAGCCGGCGAGTACGGCTGTCGGGGAGCTTCGTTGGTCCGTTGGTATCCACCGGCGGCGGTATTGCGCGGATCGCTGCCCCAGCTGGAGCTCGATGACCAGCTGGCGGGATTGGAGCCGCCAGCATTAGATTGCCAACCGGGGTTACTCCTAGAGTTGCCCGTATTCCAGCCTGCGTTAGTTCTGGGAATTCCACTGGATCCCGAAGACCAGCTAGAGCCATCACGGGGTTGTCCTGCATTGGATCCTGAGGACCAGCTAGAGCCGGCTCCTGGTTGCCCTTGTCTCGAGCCTGAGTTCCAGCTTGAGCCAGCTCCTGGTTGTCCTTGGCTAGAGCCTGAGCTCCAGCTAGAGCTGGATCCCGGTTGTCCTGCACTGGAACCCGATGACCAAGATGACCTGCCAGAGCCTGAATCAGATCCTGAACCCGAGCCCGAAGACCACCTCGAAGCGCCGCCCGTGGGATTCCTAGAGTCCGAGCCGGAACTCGAACCCGAGGACCAAGACGAGGAAGCGGTGGACAGAGTGCGGGCCACAAAGGCATCACCACGTCGACGGCAAACTGTGCATCTGGAAGGGTAATACAGGTTACGTTTATAAACCAATTATACCAGAGTCCAGGCTGAAACCCACCTGCTGATCTTGCTGGTCGGGTCGGTCTTGAGAGTCTGCTGGCGCGGCTGGGACCACATCTCCTGCTCCTCAATAACGGTTAGCCAGAATGAAGCCAAGGCATCGTAGTAGTTGCAGCGTCCATGGCCATGGCACTCGATCACCGGCTGGCCACGGAACTGCTCCAGACAGGAGCCAGGCGAGACGAGGTTCTGTCCCACGCCTCCTGTATTATCCAAAGTGGTCTGCAATAAATATGGCATCAATAAGGGATTCTCCTGCTCCTCCTAAACTAGCTTACCATGTAGTAACTGAAGCCGGTCCACATCTCCTCCCAGCCGCCGGGACAGTTCGGAATGGACATGGATTGAGAGTGGAGGGCAATGACTCTAGTCGAGGTCTCGCACACCACGCAACTAAAATTTATAAACAGAAATTAAAACCTAGGGAATACACTCTTAGACTCCCTTTCTTCCACTTACCGCGAGATGTACTTCATGAGATCCCTGGACTGGATGGGCGTCATGGTCATAGGCATGGGCTCGTCGGTGGATAGCCACAGACTGTCGTCATTGTTTTGGGCATAGTTGCAGACATTGTTCAGGTCGCACATCATGTACGGCATGGTGGTGAATCGCATCAGGCAGGAGCCGGACTGTCCCAGATCCTGGCCAGCCGTTCGGGCAGAGGCTATGTTGCCAGACAGGGAGTAGCCCTCCCACAGCATATTCGTGTTGGCAGGGCAGGTGGGTACTTGCACGGACTGCGAGTGGCGGACGAAGATGAAGCCGCGGCTCTTGGGTGCCGGTGGCGGAGGCGCCGGGTCACCGGTGGGACCGGGCAGACCACGAAGGCCGGGAATACCCGTCAGACCGATGGGACCGATGTCACCGCGTGGTCCTTGAGGACCGTCCGCACCGGAATAGCCAACCTCACCTTGGTCACCGCGATAGCCGGTGGCACCACGAATACCCATGAGTCCATCGAGTCCTGGTAGTCCGGCATCGCCCTCCTGACCCTTGAAGCCATCGAGGCCGGGTTCACCGCGATCTCCTGGTCGGGCCATAGAGTAGGAGTATGACTCTCCCGGCTGACCCTTTTCGCCGTAAAGTCCGTCCATGCCGTCGATGCCGCTCCAGCCGGCGTCGCCAGTGGGTCCTCTTGGTCCAGGGGGGCCCACTCGGCCATACTGGCCAGGACGACCGGGATAGCCCTGCTCACCCTTGGCGCCATCCCTGCCGGGAGCACCTTGGAGGCCAAGATCGCCGATGTCGCCCTGCATGCCCCAGATAGCGAAGCCAACCTCTCCCTGCTCTCCCTGACGACCCTGGTCGCCCTGCTCTCCCTTTGCTCCTGCCAGGCCGTGCAATCCGTTGCGTCCTGGGGCTCCTGGGTAGCCCACATCTCCTTGATCTCCAGGTCGGCCCTGAATCTCGGGTCCGCGATGTCCAATTATGCCATTGGCTCCGTACTCTCCCTGCTCACCGGGAGCTCCCTTTTGGCCCCTGCGTCCTGGTCGACCCTGGCGTCCATCGTAGCCGGCGTCACCTTCTGCTCCACGCTCTGCTGCTCCCGTGAAGCCGGGAAGACCTCGCGGTCCAATGTCGCCCTGCAAGCCCTTGGCGCCGGGGATGCCATCGTAACCGGCTTGTCCGGCATAGCCAATGTCTCCCTGTTCGCCCTTGGAGCCAGGTAGTCCAATGAAGCCAATCTGGCCCATTTCGCCCTTCTCGCCGCGTTCGCCCACGATGCCCTGCTCGCCGGGGAAGCCGCGGTAGAGGTAGCGATCTCCCAGGTTCTCCACGCGTCCAGGATAACCGATTTCACCTTCGTCTCCCTGAACACCTTGAATGCCCTGCTCACCGAAAGGACCCTGTGGTCCCTGGTCACCATTCTGTCCCATCAAGCCGGGGAAGCCTTCGTCGCCTTTCTGGCCCTGCAGGCCATCGGGTCCATTTGGGCCGACCTCTCCGATGGCGCCCTTGAGACCAGGAGCGCCGTTGCGTCCACGATAGCCGTCCAAGCCTTGGGCACCAGGGGCACCTGGCTCACCCGCTTGTCCGGTGAGACCACGCTCACCACGCTGTCCCTTCAGGCCGTAACGTCCGGGGATTCCGTTTATTCCCGGATTGCCGGGCTCTCCCTTCCGTCCCATGGGGCCTTCAAAGGCAATCGGCGAATCACCGGTAAGACCACGCTGTCCCTTGGGACCGGGGGCACCCTTATAGCCGGGCGGTCCCGTCCAACCGGGCTCTCCATCGTCGCCCTTGATGCCACTGTAGGCTGCCGAGCCCTTGATGCCAGTCCGACCGGGGAAACCGCGATCTCCCTGCTCGCCCTTGCGTCCTGGAAGTCCATTGGCACCGGGATATCCATAAGGTCCTTCGTCACCAGCGATTCCTGGAATTAGGAAGTAAAGAGGTTAGGGATTGAGTAGGATCAAGGATGATGTAGTAAAACTGGTACTCACCCTTAAGTCCAAATTCACCGACGGCACCACGAGGACCAATGTCACCGGGTCGTCCATCTGCGCCGATATCACCGCGATCGCCCATGTCGCCAATCATGCCGGGAAGACCACCAATGCCGGGACTGCCCGGGATGCCCTGGGGTCCGGGATTGCCGAGAGCACCACGAGGGCCGGTGTAGCCGATGCTGCCCTTGACGCCGTTCTGGCCATTCTGTCCCTGCCAACCCACCTCTCCCTTCTGGCCCTTGAGGCCGTGCGGGGCCAGGCGTCCGTTGCGTCCGGGTTCACCCTGTGGTCCTGGTGGACCCATCACATAATCACCGCGCTGACCCTTGTTGCCGGGCAGTCCGGTCAGTCCGCTTGCTCCATAAGGTCCCATCTCTCCCTTGGCTCCCTTGACGCCAGTGAGGCCAGGCGGTCCATATGGGCCCGTTTCGCCGGCATCACCGTAGAATCCCTTAATACCGGGACGTCCGGGAACTCCAATGTCACCGGGAATGACCGATTGTCCAGGCTCACCGCGTTGTCCCTTCAGCCCGACAAAGCCGTCAGCACCAGCCTGGCCATCCAGACCGGGTAAACCGGGGGCACCGTGCAGTCCGTAGTCACCGGTAATTCCCGGATAACCCTTGAGACCTTCTGGTCCCTGCATTGATTCACCAGCCGGTCCCTCGTCACCGATATCGCCAGGAAGTCCGAATTGGCCTTGGAAACCCTTTTGTCCTTTGTCGCCAGACTCGCCCTGATAGCCTTTGTCACCGAGGTCACCTCTGTTGGTGATAATTTGGCCGGGATGCATGTTACCCTTTTCGCCCTTCAATCCGGTATCTCCGACATCTCCGCGCTCTCCCTTGCGTCCATTGTAGCCGGGTACGCCCACCAAGTAGATCTTGGGCGTGGTTGGGTTCTGGCCAGGCTTTCCATCGCGGCCCTGACGACCTGGGCGTCCATCGATTCCAGGGCGACCGCTGTCACCGTAGTCACCGCGCAGACCCTGCTCTCCGCGAAGGCCCTGCAATCCGTCTACGCCATTGGCACCCCTCACACCTTCATCACCTTGGGATCCGCGAAGTCCGCGTTCGCCTTCGTCGCCCTGTTCCGCTTCCTTTTGACTGCCAATGACAATGACCTTTCCCGCTACACCCTTCCGGCCGGGGACTCCCGTCTCACCGGGAATACCGGGTGATCCGCGGATACCCTTGAAGCCAGTCTTTCCGGGCTTGCCCTGCATGCCCTGAGGACCGCGCGCTCCGGTTAGGCCGATCAGACCACGATTTCCATGGGCGCCCGGATAGCCGGTGTCGCCCTCCTGTCCTCGTGGTCCTCGGGGTCCAGCGTGGCAGATGCCGCAGTCATCGCCGCGCAATCCCTTGTCACCGTGCAGACCTCTGAAGCCGGGCAGACCGTCGTCACCGGGATAGCCACGAAGTCCAGGCGGTCCCTGCGAACCGGGCGGGCCCACAATGTTGTAACCCTCACCGGGCAGACCCTTGTCACCGGGCAGGCCCACCTCTCCGCGCTCACCGCGATAGCCATCCTTGCCGGGCAACCCGTTCAGGCCAGGCTCTCCCTTGGGTCCGACTAGATTGTAGCCGGGATCACCGCGCAGTCCATAGCGTCCGGGCGGACCGGCATCGCCGACCGGTCCCTGGGGTCCTGGTGCACCCATCAGTCCGTAGTCGCCGGCTTCGCCGCGCTCACTGCGTCCGGGCGGACCACGTTTGCCGCTGAATCCTTGATCGCCGGGCTGGCCATGCAGGCCAGGTGGACCGCGACGTCCTGCCTTGCCGGGCACACCGGGCTGACCGGGATAGCCCTGGGGTCCAATTTCACCCTGCGGTCCAACGGGACCCGGCAGGGACTTGCTCATCGTGGGATCGTAGATACCTTTTGGTCCGGGGCGTCCTTGGACGCCGGGCATGCCATCGAATCCGTCCTCACCTCGCTGTCCTGGGCTGCCGTCCAATCCGTCTTGGCCATTGTAACCCGGCGCTCCCTTGGCTCCCTTGTCCCCGGCCGCTCCCGGCTCGCCGTCCTTTCCAGGTTTGCCTCGCTCGCCAGGTCCGCCGATATCGCCTCTGGAGCCTGGTAGACCGTTACGTCCGACTGGTCCCGGCTCACCTGGTTGGCCGTCAATACCTGCTTCTCCCATCTCACCCACATCGCCCTGGTAGCCCTTCAGGGAGATATCACGCGTGAGTGCTCCTGGCTCACTTTCGCCCGGGTCGCCCTTCTCTCCAGGCGTTCCCTGCAAGCGGTACGGCGTATCCATCAGTTCGCCAACGTCACCGGTTTGTCCTTGTGGACCCGGGTCTCCCTTGGCGCCGGTCAAGCCAGCGTATCCAGTGTCACCCTTCTGTCCGCGATCGCCTTCAAAGCCAGGAGGACCGTCGTAGCCGCCGGGACCGCGGTCACCGCGACTGCCCTTGGTGCCCTTTGAGTTGATGCCGCCCTCGCCGGCGTCACCGGGTGGACCCTGCGGACCCGGCCTACCAGGCGGACCGCGCACTCCGTTCTCGCCAGGAGCACCGGGTGGACCGGAAAGGCCGGGCTTGCCGTCACAGCCATCGATGCCGCGGGGTCCCGCTGGGCCATCCTCGCCGGGGAATCCCTAATGGGGAAAAGAGATGTGATGATTAAGCCTCTCTCTCTTTTGGATAATTTCTTTCTTGTCACCTACCCTGGGGCCAGGATATCCGGGTTCACCAACAAGACCAACATCGCCCTGTAAACATATTGGTTAGTTCTGGAACACCTTCTCCGGATTATTAAAACTTACGCGATGTCCCTTCTCGCCAACTTCACCGTACTCGCCGACATCTCCCTTCTCGCCCAGATAGCCAGCTGGCCCAAATGGTCCCACATCGCCGGCAGGTCCCTCCAAGCCGGGAACTCCGGGTGGACCGATGGCACCGATGCGACCCTTGATACCCTTGCAGTCACATAGCGTGGTGTTGCAGACCTGCCAGAAGAAGGAGTATTCAGTTGAGTTGGAAACCAATCGAATTTCGTAGAGGAATCGGTCCGAGAACTGGTCTTGATTGCCCCTGATTGGAGCTATCATTTGAGCAATCGAAGATGTCGCCAGGAATTTGTTTCAATTTAAGTTTAGATTCGTTATGAAATTCTATTTTATATAGCAGGCACTTTTAAAAATACTATATATGCTTTTTAAGTGTTTGTTTAACTTTTTTTGGGATATTTTATTTAATGCAATAATTTTTTTAGACTATTTATAAAATACTTAATAATAATTAATTAATGAAAATATTTAAACCTTCAAGCCTAGATTTGTGTGGCCAAATGCCTTAATTGATCCTTGATTATAAATAAAGAAAAAGGTCTTGAAAAATTAATCATTCAAGGATATTTCAAACCTTAAACCTACTAAATGTATATTCATATTTTAGTGTACATTCTATCTAGCATTAAATTATTGATAATATATTTATAATTTTTCATAACATTTTCCAACAAACTCACAAACTTGTAGCTGGCATAAACCCATTGACCTTCGACTGGCAGTTTTCTATGCTCGGCGATTTCGTGAAATGCTTTGCCATAAAAAGAGGCAAATGGAAATCTCGCCTTAGTCGGAAAATCAACAACAATAATAATTATAATTATACAACGGCGAGTGCAGCGAGTGCGAGTTGGTGCAAAATGCAGCGGCTTTAATTGCTCGGCTTCCGTTTGCAATGAGATAATCTTCTAAACTTGTATGCGAGTCCGTTTGCTTCTATACTTTTTTCCTTTTTTGCTTTTGCTTTTTGCTTTTGCTTAGTCAATTGTGCGAAAGCATAGAGCATGCTTCTTTGAGGCTGGAAAATGCAGCAGAAAGTGCTTGGGGGGCGGTGCATTTTTAACCCCATTTTTGTAAACAAACAAAAAAATGCAATTCGCTAAAAAGTGCGATTATCTGGTAAATTTCAAGTTATGAAAGCGCTTTGAAATCTATTTCTTTCGAGGTAAAAACACCTCTGAACACGCATGTACTATTTATTGGCACATTTCTTGCGGTTTTCCCATTGATGTCAGCACGTAAACATCCTTAGTTAGCTTTTCGTATTTTCTTATTAATAGAATTGACATAATTTCATGTTGGTTAAAAGTTCACAAAAATTTATTACCGAATTTTCAGTGCTCTGAGACAGTTCCTACTAAAAATTTAAATTAAAAAAAAAAGAAGAAACTGCACACATGTTGCACGCATGTGTCCCGGGAATCTTTGCTTTTCTTTTGCTTTTTTTATATGAAAATTGTGTGTGTTTAATTGTGGAAAAAATTTGTGTCAAATGTTTGGCCAAGTTTTGCTTTTTCATTTACCAAGATATAGAAAAAGAGAGATCTGGAGAATATAGGTTTAGAGGTGACTAATGGCCAGAGTTCAAAGCCCCATGACAGCAAGAGCGGATAGCATCCTATCCCGGCAAACTCAAGTTCCCAGAACTGAACTGCCCCCAAGGAGATCAAACCATCTGTTAACCAAATATCCACATCCAAAAACCCGAAACGAGAACGTGAAAAGTAAACAACACGGAAAGCAAAAAACTGAAAAACTACAAAAAGCAAAAAAAAAAGACTTCTTTGCTTTGCGGTGAACCGAAAGATGCTGTTGCTGCTCCTCCCATTTCATTTTTTTTTTCTTCAACAAGAACAAATGAAAAATCCGAGAAAATGTAGATACGAAAATAAAATCCAATTCATTCGACCCATTACCCTCTGCGCCCCCCTCTATAAATACGGTGGTGTGCAGGTGTGCATCCAAAAAACAATTGCACTCGATTTCTGGAAAATGAGAAAGCCAACTGTGTGAAAAATGTTGGATATATTGAGTAGATGCACAGAAAGAAATAGGTATTTTATATATTTTCATATACTATTATTCTTAATTTATAGTTGAGAGTTTAGCTCTCAAAAGAAGCTTCTTAGAAACTTAAAGTCAATGAAACCTTAGACTTTAAGATTTTTATATACCTCTTTAACAGTATTTCCTTCAGTGTTAATCAAATATTATAGAAAAATGTTTATGCAAAAATTATTTCACTGAGAAACTTCGATTAGTTCTTGGTCTCATTCAAGTCTTTTGTTTCACACATTCCTTCAATCGAAAAGGCTGCAACAGAAACCCCCAAAAACACCATCGAATTTCATTCAATCAATTGAAACAAACTGAAACCCTAGAATACTGATCAGATAACGCGATATATAAATATATATAATATATATTAATATAACCTATATAAGCAGGCAGTGAGTGGAAATTGTTGCGGTAACAATTTGAAAAGTGACAGCACTGCAATTTCCTTGAACTTGACACTGGGCCAGTGGGTTATATCTGTGCATATATGCATATATATATGCTGTATACCCCCAGCACTTTTATTTTATTTTATTTTTATTTCTATTTTTTGGTTTTTTTTTGGGGACGGCCAGACAACGCACCACACTAAGTGGCGTCGTCGAGTGGGAAAAAGGGTGAGCTGAACTGTGCACTGTGTTTGATTGCCACTGGCACCGTGTTGCTTTCACAGACAAAAAAAAAATCTGAGTGCCAAGTCAGCAAAGGAGGCAGTGACTCTGGGAATATTCAAGAAATATTCAGTATAAAATTCCTGAATGGGCACGCGTGTTGGCCGTAACTAAGTATTTGCAGGTGTTGGGTGTCTTTCTCTCTTTCTTCTCGTTTAAAAAGCATTAATTGTGATAGGATTTAGGTTAAAAATGTTAAATAATATTTTTGTTTGCTTTGATAATCAATTTAGTAAGGTATCTTAAATGTTTAAATAGCATACTTATTGCAGAATTGTATTTAAAAATTAAGTTAAAACTTAAAAGTTTTAGAACCCATCTAAAAACGGAAGGAAAATCGAATGAAAAATTTAAGAAAAAAGAAAGAAAGTATGCAAATGTTGTCATAAGTATAAGTTTATATTAATATTAATTATATTTCTGATTCATTTGACTTTAATTTTAATATTCATTGAGCTTGAATTAAACTAATTTCTAAAGGTTTTACTTCAGGTTAATATGTCTCTTGATAATATTGATACAACATTGTATACAGTTTAAAATGTATTGAAAATAAAAATGTCTGTCTGCTTTCCTTTTCACATTCCACCTTTTGTTTCACTGTAAAAGTCTGATAGTGTCAGAAAAGCCTTATGCACAGACATATATGTACATACATCTGATATATCAGATATATCATCCATATGCGGCGCTCGAATCCGATGTGTGTCAGTGTTGCTCGCACTTAAGCGCATTTACACATGTTTAAGCCAATTGTCCCAGTTCCCGCTGGCTCGTGCAGCCTGCAACTTGCACATAGTTTAAGGTCAAAGCTAAGCCTCCGCAAAGATGATATATATATATATGTGTTTATACAGATATCTGGCATATATCTGGCGCGACAATTGGGCACACCCAGCCCACGCTAATCGTGCTTAGAATTCTTCTACCCTTAAGTGGTAATTCTGGTATTTCTCCGTCAAAAGGCAAGTCCATTGGCCCGACACACGTTCTGAGTCTGAGATTCAGTTCTGAAGGTCTCAGTATCTAATGTCAGTCTTTGGGGTGCTAAGTTTATGCCTTTCCGCTGAACTGTAAGCGATACCTTCTTCAACTTCAACTGCAGACAGACTTTTGTAGTTATTCAGGGAATGCAAAGCACAGCGAAATGTCTTGGATAAAATCAAGAGTGAGAGAAGGGCAGAGGTGGGGCTTCAAAGGGGGGAACTTTAGGGGTAACTATTCCTAATTTAAGGTAAAGCTATATATTTTTAAAAAGTAAACTTCTTAAAATCCTTTCAATAACATCACTTAACCCCCTCTCGAAATTATTTCCGCATCCACCACTGTGTGTGAAGTAGACATATGCCCTGTTAATCTGTATCTCAAAGTTGGTGGCCTGGTCTGCCTCTGCCCGGATGTGGCATACAAAAAAATAAAATAAGAACAACACAGAATAATAATAATTATTATAAGAATGTCATCTTATATATAGTGAGTGTATAAATCACAGCTGATAAGCCTGGACAGCGTTTCAAGTCGCAAGAAGGCGAGCAAAAAAGTAATTAATCCATTTCAATTTGGCATTAAATTATATTTTATACAAAAACATATGAATATGTGTGTGTATATTTTAATATGTTTCTTTCATGTTGAGTTTCAGGCGGTGGACAAAGGGGTTATCTGTTGTAGAAAAAACACCATCAATGTGTGTTCTTTGTTGTCAAGTGACAAAGTTGAAAAGGCAGGATTCTTTTCAACACAGAAGACAAGCTTCTCTAACTTAAGTTTTGTTTTCTGTATTAATTAGTGCTTTAACTTTAGGCTTAGAATTTCTAACTAAATATTAAAATTATACTAAAAAGGTCCTACTTAAAAAGTTTTTCTTCAACTTTACAGACTAGCTAGAATCTATTTTTAAAAACTATTTTTTAGGGTTCTTGTATCCATTATTTCTCCAAATGTATCTCTAATCATCGAGGATCCTTTTGTGCGTCAGAATTGACCCAATTCGCCAATAGTAAGGCTGCCCATGTCGGACAACACGCGCCATCAATCAACAACATTTTCATTTTCATGTTTGCAGTCAGGGAATGGAGTGGGAATTTCCACAATAAGAACAACAAATCAGTTGTAAAATATGCATCATAAACGTTTGGAAAACGGCATGCAACAATGCAAGCAAGAAAAGGAAAAATAAAAAAACAGAGCATATAGAAGACCTCAATATGATAAGTAAAAATTGGGGAAAAAACAACTTAAACAAGAAAGAAAGCTAACTTTGGCCAGCCAAAGTTTGTATACCCTTGCAGGTAACAATTAAAATATATCATAACCAAGCCAAAAATGCATTAATTTCGATTCGGAAAGCAGTTTTGTGTTAGTTTTTATTAATTTAAAAAAACTGCATACCAAATTTAAAGTTTTAAGAAATCAAAATTCTTGGCCATT